CTGAACCAGGGCCTCTGGGGGGCAGTGTGAATGATTCCACTCTGCGGGGCCATGGTCCAGCATTTGGGAGCCACAGAGATGAGTGTCCTTAGAACCTGAGATTCTGAGCCCAGGCATGTAAGATGCAAGACCGGGAGTCCAAAATCCTGTGACACTGAGACTAAAAGTCAGCAGTAACACATTCAAAAAGCTGACTCCCAGATTCCAGACACTCAAGTTCTTAAGATGCTATGAATCTGCACCGCTCTGATTCTGAAACAGAGGTACCGCAGAGCCCAGGATACAAAGATTCCAGACCCTCAGCTTCACTCTGGGAAGGCTCCTCCGGGGCAACATCCGGCCTTTTCCTGCCCTGAGCTGCCCAAGCAGAAGCATTCCCCGTGTTCCCTTAAGTGGCAGGAGGGACGGCTGGGGCTGAGGAGGTACAGGGCATTAGGGTTTCTGTCCAGAAGCAGCCTGTCCCCAGGCCGGTTTCAGATTGAGGCTCGGGGTCTGCCTGGACTAGAACTTGAGCCTGGGGTCTGATGAAAAAGACTAAGCCATCAGGGTTGTCCTGCTGCCCTGTTCAGCCTCCCGAATCCCACAGAACACCAGCCTCTGCTCCGGACTCCCCAGACAAGGAGGTGGAGCCTACCCACCTCCTTCCTCACCGCCATCTCTGCTTGTAGATTCCCAGCGGCACCGTTTCACAGATGAAGAGGTCGGGCAGAACAGGTTCCAGATGCCCCCCTTGGAGGAAGGTGAGTCAGGCTGGGGAGGGACACGGAGGGTGGTGATTAGGATGCCAGCCCTGCCTCCAGACTTAGCAGGTCACTCGCCTTGAGATGCATCAGCGCAACCTCCCTCAACAGGTCTTTCCTGACTTTAACGATTCCCATTGGCAGTAAGTTCTTTCTCATGTTTAACTTAAAGCCCTCTTGCTGCACTGCATCTTCTTTATCATGATTCTGTCTTTCAGGCCCAGGACTCGAAGAGGTGCATGCCTCCCGGGTCCCACCTGCCAACCCTGAACACTGCATTGCAGACCCCCGCTCCACGGGCCCTCAGCACCGCCCAAGGAGCAAGGGCGGCTCCAGCACATCTTCAGGGGAGGAGTGCTGTAAGAGCCCTGGCAGAAGGCTACCTCCGTGGAACTCTCAAGTGTTTTCTTCAGAGAGGAACCCCCTGCCGGGTCAGCCCCTGAGCTTGGAGCTGGCTGGCTCCCAGGCAACTTTTCCAGGTAAGGTGGGCCCAGGAGGATTGTGTGCCTGCTCCAGCCTCCCATCCTATAGCCGACCTGGCCAGAGGAAGCGTAAAGCTGGGAGCCCTGAGCCAGTCTGAGTTCAGGACTCTAGTCCCAGCTCGGCAGCCACGTGCTATGTGACCTTGGACAAGCCTCCTCCCCTCTCTGGGCCTTCATTTCCTCGGGTGTCAAGCTAAGGACCTGACTCTACTGAGTCTTGAGGGCCTCCCAGCTCTGGCACTTTGCGAACTAGCCTGGCAGAGGGTGACTGGCTCTGGGGGTTTCCAGCAGGGCCCTCGGCTGATGACAGCTCCAGCACCTCCTCCGGAGAGTGGTACCAGAACTTCCAGCCGCCGCCCCAGCTCCCATCTGCTGAGCAGTTTGGATGTCCAGGTGCCAGGGGCAGGGGAGGGGGTTCTGGGAGGGGGCACAGAGAGGGACTGGAGGGTGGATGAGTGGGGTAGCTCTGGATACATTGGCCCACGGGGGAAAAAAGAGAAGTAACGGGATTTTTTAAAGCAAACAAGAATATAGGGAGGTAGGGAAAATGGATGTAGGTGGGGCAGAGAAAGATTCAAAGAGAATGCCTTAAGAGGAAGTGAGCTCCCCATTAGTGGAGGCTTTCAAGCAGAAGCAGCCAGATGGCCCCTTGGGGGAGATGGTGGCAGCAGAGGGGCTCCCAGCACTCGGGGACTATAGCCCTGAACTACACAGACAAGGCTCTGCCTTCAGAACTGACATTCTAGCGAAGGAGGTAGCCATGAACAAGATTATAAGATGGTCTCACACAGCATCCCTGGGGAGAGGAATGTGGACCCAGACCTGCTCAGCTCTGTCCCTGCTCAGCAGGCGCAATGACTGGGCCTCTCACTGATCTGAGTCTCCTGGCCACACAGGGTCCCTCACTCCCCAGCCTGACTCCTCCTCCAATGAAGACTATGATGACATTGGAGCAGCCTAGCCTGGGCCCGGCGCGGCTCCTCTCCCTGCCCTCCCCCCGCCCTCCCCCTCATGCCCCAGGAGCTGAGAGTCCTCCCCTGGAGACGTGAAAGGAACCTCCACACCTAGTATGGCCCAGCTGCCATCCATCAACAGAACCTGCCATCACAGCCCTCCCCCAGCCCCAAACAGCAGCCCCAAGGAAGAGGTGCTGCCTCTGAAAGGGGCCGAGCTCTCTGCCTCAGGGGTGAACAGGCAGAGTCTAGGCCACTGCTCGGCAGGCCGCGTGGAAGGTTTGAACTGGGAGATTCCTGAGGCCCCTTCCGACCCTCATGTGTCTGAGGCTTTGGTTGCCTGAGTCTCTGACAGCTCAGGGCCCAGAGGAAATCCACGAGGGGCAGGGAGGCCCCATGTGCAGGGGCCATTGGACTGCTGTTGGTCTGACAGGCGGGTGCTAGGGCTGTGGCGGGGGAGCCGCCAGCTGACCCAGGCTAAGCTCAGGTTGGTACCTGCACCCGGCAGGGAGTCCAGCCTTCCTGGGCACAGCCCAGGATGGGACAGGGAGCTGGATGGCTGCCCCTCCTCGACCATCCGGGGCCAGAGGCCAGCCCTGCCTCTAGAGAGCCTCGGAGCCCACCAGAGACACAGCCCTTATCTGCAGTGACCATTCCTGGGCAGCAATCTTTATTCTGAGCTTCCAAAGGTTTACAAGGATGGTCCCATCCAGCCCCGCCAGAGACCCAGAATGGGGCTCAGTCCCCATGGGGCAGAAGCACAGAGATGTCTTCCAGGAGGGGCCCAGAGGTTGCACTAAGCCCCGAGTCCCCAGCTGTCTGCTTGCATGGATGGGATCCTCCCCGATGAACACATAAATATCAGTGTCACTCCTAGAGCCGTAAACGTGTCCAAGGCAGCCTCCAGGGAGAGGCCTGAGGGCTCAGGGCCAGCTTCTGGTGTCCTGCTCTGAGTATCCCGAGATTAAACCAGTTGCGGAATGAAACCGGGGGTGGAGTAACAAGTCTTTGAACTCACAGAACCCAGGCTCTGCCTCTGTGTGTGTGTGTGTGTGTGTGTGTGTGTGTGTGTCTGTGTGTGTGTGTGTGTGTGTGTGTCTGTGTGTGTGTGTGTGTGTGTGTGTGTCTGTGTGTGTGTTGGGTTGGAGGCAGCTCTACCCATCGAGGTGCAAATGTCAGGGTGAATTGGAAAGGTATTGAATACTGTGGCCCAGCCCCATGAAAAATGCTGGGGATGCAGCGACAAGACACAGGGCCTGCCCTCCCGGAGGTGATGGACAGATGCCTGTGAGTTCAGCACCCCCTTCCTGATTTGCCAATTAGCCCTGGATCAGCGAGGTCAGGCTTCCTGCGCTGAATGCATTTTGACCTGGGCCTCCATAAGCTTCTGAGGCAGGGGAGGGTGAGTAGATTTTATCTCAGACCTGCCTGGAAAAGGTATTGATCCCAGGTTGCTCAGAGGCTGGGGTTTTAGCTCAGCTGCACCAGCCAGTGCCCAGCTCTGCCTGCAGGGAGAAGGCTGGAGGTCAGGTTTCCTCTGAGCCCTCCCAGAGCCAGGGATGGTGGAGAGGGCCACTCAGTGGATCTTACCCTGAGCGGCTGAGCAGGGCCTGTTTTCCGTTCACCTCTCCCAGAGGTGCAAAGAAAGCTGTCACTCCCCAGGGCAACCGTCACAGGATGTGGTTGCCCTGTGATGGGGCCCCCTCCTCCAGCCCTCTGAACACTCATGGGACTGCAGGGGATTCCTAGGGGGGGAGCTAGTGCTGCGGTGGGCAGGATCAGACTCCCAGAGTCTGTGGGATTTGTGGAAAGCCTTTTTTTTCAGACAGTCAGGGTTCAAATCCCGGCTCCACCCTGTCCTGGCTGTGTGGTCTCCGGCAAGTCACTCTACATCTCTGAGCCTTTGCTATAAAGTTTGTCTGTAAAGTGCACACAGCAGTGGGTTAGAGGCTTGGCAATAAGTGTTCCCTCTCATTGGTAGATGAATCAGTAGAGGCAAGAGATCTCCGTAAAAGGAGAAAGGGGAGAAGAGAAGACAGCAATTCATGGGGTCTTAGCACATTGGTGCTGGAGGAGGTTTGTCTCACTCTCATTTTACAGAGGAGGATGCTGAGCCCTGGCAGGGGAAAGGACTTGTCCAAGGTCCCTCAGAGAGTTAGTGGCCAATTCACAATTTGGCCCTACCCCTCCCCACCTTTGCCCGTTGGGGGTCAGACAGGGAGATGGTGACACCCTCTGAGTTCTCCCTCATTTCTCACCAGAGCCACCTCCCCATCCCTGGGCCCCTCTGTTCCATACACACTGAGAGAAATTGGGGAAACTCTGAGACATGTCTCCCTTGCTCCCTCCCAGCCCCCAGGCAGCCTGGGACCACCAGGGTCACACATGGCAGGGGACTTTCTGAGGGCTGGCATCCTGAACCACAAGGTCTCCTGCCAGAGCTATCTTCCTGGGCCTGGTGATGGGAGCTTCTCCCAGGAAAGACCTTTCCCCCATCTCTATGCCTCCAGAGCACTCAGACCATTCCTTACAGAGCCAGGCCCTGAGCTGGGACTGGAGAGGCTGGGATGAATGACATCGCTGTGACCTGAAGGAATAGAAGCCCGTCAGGGGAGTTACAATCATAAGCGGTGCGCTTACCCTCCACTCTTTAGAGACCTTGCATTATATATGCCTCAGTGATCTGGGAGAGGAAACATAAGGATGTTAAATGGATGTGGCAGCTGAACCCCGATTTCAGAAACACTGATATGGGGGAGGGCCTATATCTGAAATGAAGGCGCTCCAGCAATTTTCCGGCTCTGCGAGTGCAGTGAGAGAACGAAGCACAGGGAATGCATGGGGCCCACAAGAGCCCCTGACCCTGCTGGAGGCTGGCCATCCTGGAAGGCTTCCTGAGGAGGTGATGCCTGAGCTGGGTCGTAAAGGATAGGTAGGAGTTAGCTATGGGAGTTGAGAGGGATGGGCATTCCAAGTTGAAGGAATAGCATAAGCAAAGACAGAGCAAGAAACCAGGTGTCTTTCAAGGTAAAGGGTGGTCCAGCCTGAGAAGAGGCTGAGGACAGCCAATTCTCACACCAACTCTGTTTCATAGGTGAGAAAACTGAGGCTCAAAGTGGTTAAGTAAAATGTCCAAGTCACACAGCTAAAAAGCAGCAACACTGGGATTTTAATATGTACCATCTGTCTTCAGAGTCTGAGCGTTAACCATGGCACTTCCAGTGGAAACCCATCCCTGTCCCTGTGCCCACTGGAGCTACACTGCTGGGTATAGAGCCCCAGCCAGCTCTGAGATCTGGAGACACCAGCCTGTCCACCGACAGCACAGGCAACTTCTGGGTGCTCAGATGCTAAATTCAGGGATGGGATAACTCACTGCCTCGGCACTCGTATGCGGCCAGGCTCTATGCTGGCCCTGGGGCACGGAGAGGAATGAAACCTGGCTCTTCCCTGCGGGAGACAGATACAAAGACCAGTAACTGCAATATATACCATGGGTGTGGTGGTGGTGACCATGATGGTGATAATGATGACAGTGAGTGGCAATTACTACGTGCCAGGCATGTATTATTTCTTATAATCCACAAAAGAGCTCTCTGAGAAGTTAGTATCCTCCCTAATTTATAAATAAGGAAACTGAGGCCCAGAGAGGTTAAGTGACTAGCCAGAGGTCACACAGCTTGGCAAGTAGTACAACTTTTCTACCTAACTCCAAAGCCCAATGTGAAACCACCACACTGAACGGTGGGGGCGCATCATTGGCATATTTAAACCACAAGAACTTAAGTGTATCTACTCAGCCGCAGAAGAGAAAGAAAAAGAACAAGTGAGCCCATCATACCACTCAGTGAGCAAACACCCGGGAAGAGAGATGAGAGATGGGAGCCGGGACTCTGTTCCCTCAGACCCTGAGAACCATTCACTGAGTGGGCATCTTACCACACCGGATGAGATCTTGGTTATTAATGATTCACATTTTTCATATGTGATGGGCTTGAAACACAAGCCTGTTGCTTCTTCTGGCTGCTCTAACATTGGAGGGAGAAACATCTGGTTGGAGGCAGCACAGGACAGACTCAAATACAGAAGACTTCATAAGGAGCTTGCATTTTCTTTTCCTTCCTTCCTTCCCTCCTTCCTTCCTTCCTTCCTTCCTTCCTTCCTTCCTTCCTTCCTCCCACCCTTCCTCCCTTCTTTTAAATAGTAAATATGTTCACATGCTTCAAAACTCCAAACAATATACAAATGTATGTCATTAAAATCTTGTTACCCACCCATCTACCCTCTCCCCTCTCTTCCCCATCCCCAAGTAAACACTTATTTCTCTGATGCAAACACCAGCAAATAGGAATAATTCTTGCTTCCCCCCCACCCATCCTTATACAAAAAAGGGCATTCTATCCACATTCCTAGGCGCCTTGCTTCTTTACACCTCTCAAGGGATTTTCAAAAGTAATATTGACCGTATTCAAGTTTTGTCCCATGTGCTACCCGAGCACGTAACCTCTGCCTCATTCAGGACTCCAGCACATTGTAGAGAGTGCTGTGTGGACAGAGAGGAAGAAGGCACCAACTGCCAGAGTTTGTTGGAGATAGCATGACAAAGAGGGAACAAATGAAAAGGCTACTGAAGGATGTATAGGAGTTTGCTGAACAGTTGTGTGGTGCATGTTGGCTGAAGCCTGGGGCTGGGCAGGGAGTGCATAAGTGGGAAAGGTCACTGAGAGCATCTCAGCGGGTCTGTGAAACTTTCCCAGGAGTTTGGTCATTGTTCTAGAGGCACTGGGGAATCATGAGTAGTTTCTAAGGCAGGGAACTGATCTGATGAGATGGATGCTCTAGAAAGATCGCTGCTGCAAAGTGGAGGTGGGTTTGAGGAAGGCTACCTGGGAGGTGGCCATGGAACACTGGTGGCCAGGACTAGAGAATGGGGAAGGAGTCTAAGATTTGGAGGGTGATCACATACATGGGAGGTGATTTCCCAACACAGCAGCCTCCAGCCATGATG